TGCTTTGGACATGGATAAAGAGTGATGATAGCATTTTCTACATTAATAGAGATCTTTTACTTAGGTAGTCTCATTTCACCTGTACCACACCCCATGAGATGGAATAGGTGTTACTATCCTTAATTTTACAGATGAGGAAATAGGTTCAGAGTCATAATGTCACTTGCCCAAGGAAACACAGGAAGTGCTGAAGTCAGGATGGGAATGCAGGTCCTTTCTATTTCGTCGAGGTGCATCTACAGTCCTAAGCCTTCTGTGGAATCAATGTGCTCTCCATCCAGATGTCAAATTAAAATTATATCTGGAAGTCTTCTAATGTCCTGAATCAACCTTGGTTGCTGTGAATGGGGGTTGGTGGGGATCTCCTAATCAGCCAGGACCCCAAGTGCACTTATTCCACTTGTGCCTCGATTGTTTTACATGGATACTGAGCTGTGACTATGGTAACCATGGGTCTCAAACATGAAGGGCATACAGGGGGACTTCCAATATGCTGTTATGATAAAAAATTAGCTAGTCATTTCCGTCTGTACAGGGCTGATCCAGACAGTGAAAGGAGAAGAGATGTTGGTTGAGAAGAAGGGCTGAATTACAAAAGTCCTTGCTTTTTTCTTCTTAGCCATTACCCTCACCTGAAATATTACCCGTTATGCTCATTTATTGACTCTCTCCCTCCTCCTAAAGTGAAGCTCCACATAGGTAGTCAGTAAATATTTGCTGGTCGATAGAATGGATGGATGGACAGAAGGATGGATGAAGACCGACCAGACAACGCAGTTTGCTACCAGTTCTCTGTGCGATACATTACTTTGCCTCTCGGAACCTCCGTTCTTTATCTTTAAAATGGAAGTGATAAATTATGCACACCTCATAGGATGGTTGCAAAGATCAGATGAGAATAATACAGACAAGGGTAGCCTGTGGTCTGGCAGGCTCTCAGTAAATGTTACCTGGTGGAGAATTTCTGTCATCAAAGGTCTTTCAAGAGAGAACAGATATGCCTCTGCCCTGCAGAGTGTAACCCTTCATGTCACTAAAACCCTTGGGGTTGACTCAGGTCATTTCCCAAGGCCCTTTCTAGTCCTATGACTCTGAGAGAAGATTCCACTTTCAGAGCCTTTTTCCTCTGTCAGGGAATTGAGACGCATCTTCAGGAGTGGCCCCCTCAAAGCTTGCTCTGTAGGCAAAAACCAGTTTGGAGAGTTTTATCACGGGATGCACTTCCTTCTGCGTCTGCGGTTTTATTTTGGCCATGGTTAATGACAGTGAGTCACCCAACACAAAAAGGCCGCTGACAGGTTTTCACCAAAGGACACAGCTAAATAAGTCCAAAAGGATTAAAAACCAATCTCACCACCCAAAGAGACTGCAAGTAAAACATACACAGCTCAGCGATAATAATCACAGAGCTGGAAATAGTTCTATGGTTTGATGGGCCAATAAAAAAAAATACAAGCAATTTCAGTCCCCCTGGCCTCTCCCAGCAGCCTGTCCGCCTGCGACAGAGATGAAAGCGTCGGCGATGGCTGATAGAGAAGGGTCACAAGGACTTGCCTCTGCTAATATGTACAGTCTGCCTGTTTAGTGATGCCCCTGCAGAGAAGGATTCCACCGGTCCACATTTCCAACAGAAATCTCATTCCCAGGGCAACGAGTGGGATTATTATCGATTTTTGGAGATGACGATGATAACTTTGAGAGCTTTGAAGACAGCCTTTGTCTAGACAGAAATAGCTCAGAAAGCTTTTGAAATGCACCATCTGAAACCTTGTAGGCTTGGTTGTAGCTGGGTAACGCTGACTCATCCTATGAAAGGCCTTCCCCAGGCCTAATGGAACTCTGCTCCCAAATTCAATCAAGTCTCACAGCACCTGGAGTCAGGAGGCTGTGAGTTAAGTTCAAGTATCCTGGGCTGAAGTTATTGTTACCTTACCCACCAATCAAAAACTTTGTGTCATTCCAGAGGAATCTGCTGCTTTTTAACCAAGTCACTTAAACCTGTTAATTCAATGCTTTTGACGTCGGTACCTAACCCCCAAGTCATACTTTTCATACAACCCTCTTCTCGTTTTCGTCATTGTCACTGGCTACTTTGTCTCCCGTCTTCTTCAGTGATTTAAATGCCTACCATAGTCTTAACTCATTACCTTCCGACCACCTGCCCTCCCAGTTCTTTAATCTCTCCAATTCCTAGGACTTTCACCTCCACTTGACCAGGTTCCTCAAAGCTTTGTCACCCAATGGGCCTCTGAATCGACTAGAACTGTTTCACCTGTAAGATGTCAGACTTAGATCTGTCTTTGATATACAGGAATACCTCATTTGATTGAGCTTGATTACACTTCGTAGATATTGCTTTTTTTTTTGCAAGTTGAAGGTTTGTGGCAACCCTACGTTGAGCAGGTCTATCAGCACTGTCTTTCCAACAGCATTTGCTTACTTTGTGTCTTTGTGTCCCATTTTGATAATTCTTCCGGTATTTCAAACTTTCCCATTATTACATTTGTTATGGTGATCTGTGATCAGTGATTATGATTCAATGAAAGCTCAGATGACGGTTAGTATTTCTTAGCAATAAGGTATTTCTTAATTAAGTATGTATATTGTTTAGACATAATGCTATTGCACATTGAAGAGCTATACTATAGTATAAACAGCTTTAATATGCACTGAGAAACCAAAAAATTCATTTGTCTCACTTTATTATGGAGGTCTGAACTGAACCCACAGTATCTTTGAGGTACACCTGTGCCATCTTTCCCTGCATCTGATTTCCCTTTACATCATCCCAGCCCTCTTTCTCCATTCACTGTGAAGCTTCATGAAAGGACAGTCTTCAACCTCATCTCTGCTTTCTCATCCTTTTCCCTTTATGCTCACAGTTTCTAGTCATTTTTTAATAGCTAAATCCAGTGGGTCCCACTCAGCTTAAACTCCCTGACACCTCTGATCCAGACGGTGCTGTCAGCCACCCCTCCCTTCTTAGAAAACAATATCCACGCTTAACTGCCATGATCTCACACTAGCCTGGTTCTCCTTCCAACTTCTCAGTCCTCTTCAAAGCCGTTTCTTCTGCCACAGCTTCACTGGAGGTCTGCCCTAGGCCTTTTCTTGCTTTCAATATTCCCCTGGGAGAGCTCACTGACTCCTATTACCACCTATAGTCATGTGTGTGACTCACAATCCACAGTTATCTTTGAATTCCCTCCTGACCTTAACATCAGCATTTCCAACTGCTTGTGGACAGGAGTAGCCTATCAGTATTTTAAATCCAGGATCTCCAAAAAAAAACTTGTCTCTTTTAAATTGGCTTCTCTTTCTGTGTTCCGGAGTTTGGTTTTTGGAAACTCACTAGAACTGTCTTTAACTTCTCCCTTTTCCTCATCCTCCATTCCCATCCTCTGAGTGGCCAAGACGTGTCAATGCTACTTCCACATCTCCGGATTGGCCCCTTTCTTCCCATTTCCACAGTCACTACCTTAGCTTAGGCCCTCACTTCCTCTTTCTTCGTGACCATAACACCCTATTGCTCTGCTGCTTCCTGCCACCAGCGTGATCCCCACCCACAGCGTTGAACAGTTCACCCGCTCTCCAAAGCAAAAACAATTATTTTTCAACGGTTCCCCATTGGCTAAAAAGTTAAGTTCAAGTTTTCCTAGCCTAACTTTCAACGCCTTCTAGAACTTTGTCTCAGCCATCCTTTCTTGCCTCTTATTACTCAACTTCTATTCTATAAACACAGTCCCTGCTTTCTTAGGCACCTCTGTTCCCTCCCCTTGAACCCTCTGCCTATAAATTCTCATTCCATTTCTTGTGCCAAATGCTGACTCTCCAAAGTCTTTCCTCCTAGATCTCTACTCACTTAGAGCTGGAATAACTCCCTCTTTTCTCTGTATTCTCAGAGCATTTGTCATTTTGGACATCAGTTCTATTAACACCTTTTTTCCTCATACTGAGATGAAATGGGTTTATTTGTCCTCCAAATTGTAAAATTCTTCAAATTCCATTCAGTAATTATGTAGCTTGCATTTTTTTCTAGTAAGCATTGTAACAGCATCTAGGACTCAAAAAAGAGTAACCTGCAGCTCAGGGACTGAATCTTTCTGGTGAGAAAAGATGCTATGGAAACAGAGCCCCTGCACTATGTGGCAGGAAGTGGGCACATCCTATCAACACGTGCTTCCCCTAATCTAGGACTTAGCACATGTCAGACGAATGGCAGTTTGGGGCTGGAGGAGCGTACAAGATCATGCTGTGTGATCATCATGTATCCTAGCATAGGGAAATGAGGCCACAGAGGTTAGGAACTCACCAGAGGTCACCAGATGTGAGTGGCACAGCTGTGCCAAGCCCTAGGCCAGGGCACACTCTGCCACAGCCCCCCACTACCCCCACAGCCCACCAGATCTGCTCTGCCTTTGAATCCTGAGGGGCAGGGAAGGGTGTCGCTTTAATTAATCACGGTTATGAACCACATGGCATATTCTAAGAGCAACACAGTGTCATCAATGAATGTGTCTAGGCTGAGTGGCCAAAGGAAACACCAGCAAATATCTTCAAGGACATGTCAATGCTTCTTCCCTGAATACATCATTTCCTTAAAACTCCCTTCACTCCATTGCTTCTACATAACTTTTTGGTAGTTTTTTCTTTTTAAGAGTCAAATCTTTTAATGGTTAGATAGGCATTCATTCATAGGAAAAGGAAACACCGAACATTTTAAAAAGTGGCATTCCTGGGTTGGTGTTCCTCCTTTAGCTATCAGGAAGGTTCCAGAAAGACTGCCTGTTTGTTTGTTTTTCTCTAACAATAGTTAGTTATATGATTGAGGTGGGGGTATTTTTTTCAAAAGGGTGCTCAAAAATTATTGCCTTATTCTTAATAGGGCTTCAAACACAACCACATTACAAGTCTCTGAAGGCATTTTATCCAGAATAAATTACTCTTTTAAAACCGCCTTTGTCCTTCTCTTGATAAACCACTCATCTCATCTCAGCAATTTATATTTATTCACACATTTTACATGCTTATTTTAAAGAACCAAAGGAAGAAGAAGTCTTTATTTTTTCCTGCATTTAAAAGCGACCACATAGTTGGCATAGATGAAACAAAATAAACTCTTTCATTATTATTATGCCTACTTTAGAACAGAGAATGTCAAGATACCTGACTGTGGCTGGAGAAGAATGAATGAATGAAGAATGTTATTGGCATTCACGGAAGACCCTAAAAAAAAAAGTCGCGTCTCAAGGTTCTCAACAACTTGGTTAATTGGCCTTTCCTCCAAAACAGCCAGGAAGGTAACATGGGTGTTTTTCCATTTTTTTTCCATAATTAGTAAATATATCTCACTTAAGCTTGTTTCACTGAGACCCCCATATGGAATAACAACTTGCCTAGAGACCAAAATGGATATATGACAGATGTTTGTGGGGATGTAACTCAATAATGGGTAAGAGAAAACAACTGTTACATCTTCATTCAAACCAAAAGGCTCTGCCCAAATCTTAAGAAATATAGTTTGGTTGTGAACCAAACAGTATTCATCTGTATAGCTGGCAATAATAGAATTCCATTATAATTCATTGTTATAAATATTAGTAATTAAATGTTTTAACATGGATTCATCATTCCAAGGGGCAAGTCTTGTCCTACAACAGAAGGTAAAATCCTAATAGAATGTGGTTACTCCGTCCTTTTGAAATACTGAAGAAATCTCCACACTAGGGATCATTGTTAACCAGGCATTACGTTGCACGGAACAGAGAGAGTACATTCTCTGCATAATACTACTACTGTCACTTGGTTGTACCTTGCAGATTACCAAGGTCTTTACCTACACATCTCCTGTGAAATCGTACAGACCAGGAAACTGAGATGCTGAGAGGTTAAGTAACGTTCACTCCATCACCAGGCTAGCAAATAACAGTGCAAGGGATGGCAAGGTAAGGGAGACAGCAAGCCTGGGCTTTGCGGTCAGGCTGACTCAGGATTGAATCTCAGCTCAACTAATCGTAGCAACACAAATCTGGACGAGAGGCATGTAAACTCCCTGAACCTTATTATTTCTTTTTAACCACAAAATATGTGTAATACCCACCTCACCGATTTATAAGAATTAAATTGGACAAAATGTAAAAAGCACACACAATTCCGGGCAAGTAAAAGAATGTTCATTGAATATTAATTAGCTTGCCTCAACTGACACTTATGTAAAATGGGGGGGGGAATAAAACCTACCTCATGGAGCCAGTGCAGGAATTAAGTGAAATAATACTCTGAAAGCGTTCACCATTATTAGTTTTTTCGCCTTGTCCATTTCCTCGCTGCACTGCCTGCACCCATTTCAAAGCTGCCTCTGTGGAAAGGTCAATGCAACATACTAGAAAACAATTTTAGGGAGAGGAAGTTTATTTTCCTATCTCAACAAGCACTTGAATTATCTACTGAATTCATAATTGTTTCCAAGAAAAAAAACAAAATTAAGTATTTTTCAAAGATGAGAACAAAGTCGAAATCAAACAAGATAATTTCCATCTACCTGGAAGCCCTCATGATGATAAAAGTTTGAAAATGTAGCCCCTTCAAGCCATCTTGTTCAGACACCTAAACGTTCCCTTCTTTTTTTTTTTTAAAAAAAGAACTGTATCACTTTCATTTCACCAAAGGTTAGATGGAGTGAGAACTACAAGGGGAGATACAAAGAAAAGGAAAATGAAAAAAAAAAAAAAAACACTGGACAAAATAACCGAGAGGAAAAATAAGTTTTCATACAAATCTGAGTTCTCTTCCAAATAAATCTTTAACACTAACATAACATTATTATCTGCTAACAGCGGTGATGTTTCCAATTGGCCACTTTCTGATAAAACAGTATGTATCACAGACAGAGCGTCTTCTCTAGTATCGCCATTGACAAATTCAGTCAACAGCACAAACTGACCCAGCAGCAGGCCCCGGTCAGTGGGTTCTCGACTGTCCACTTGGAGTCACCTTCACCCAAAGGATGGTGTCAGTCAACCTTCGAATGTAATTCCCAAAGGAAGGAATTTTTGGAAAGCTCTTCTTTGGTTAAATTATTTCAATTATTTTTGTACATAATTTACCCCGCTGACTGTGGGAAATTCTTGTTGATTGCCCTTTGAGTTTTTAGCAAAATGGTTTTTTTCGAATGAGTTGCTCAGACTGATACAGTTACAGTTTGCATTTGAGAAGCACAGGGAGAGTTTCCTTAAAAAGCACCTTGAGGTTGCAGGCACAAAACCAACAGGAGGAAGGGTGGGGACCCAACCAGAACGTCAAAACACATTTACTCCCTCCAACATTCATTTCCTTTTCCTAAGACTTGGTCCTGGAGAAAAAATAACACTAGAAAAATGCAAACCACCTTCGGACAGCATCTTAGACCAGCCTGCAGACGCGTGCAGTGCAGCGGGCGCGGGGGGCCGGGCCGGGGCGGCGCTCGCTAGCTGGTCGCGCCCTCCGGCTCGCTGCAGGGAGAAGGCGCCGACGAGGCCTTGGACTCGCCGTCGCTGTTGCATTCGGCCCTGCGCGGGGAGCCGGCGTCGGCCGGGCCCTCCTGCCCCTGGGCGTGCCGCTCCAGCAGCTCTTGGAGGTTCTTGATGTAGCGGATGGCGGCGCGGAGCGTCTCCACCTTGCTGAGGCGCCCGTCCGCCAGCTCCCGGGGCAGGTGGTCTCGGAGGCGCGCATACCCCTCGTTCACGCAGCGCACCCGCTGCCGCTCGCGCTCGTTGCGCTTGCGGAGGAAGGCGGGCTCGAAGGCGCCGTCCAGCGGCAGGGGTAGGCAGGGCCGACTGGGGGCGCAGCCCCGGGGCTCCCGCTCCCAGCACGCGGCGTCCAGACGCAGCGAGACCCTGAAGGGGTCCCGCAACGGGAGGCGGGTCAGGGTCCCCGGCCCGTCCAAGGACGCGGTGCGGAGGTGGTACGGCAAGGTCAGCAGTGCGGCCGGTTTACGTTTCTCCATCACTCGCCGGAAAGCCCACAAATCACCCAAGAGATTAATCTCAGAAAAGGAGACTTAAAATTTTCAACCCGGAGATCCTGGTCTATTCAGACTGCCTGGTCCATTTACAGGTGGAGGAAAGACCTCATCAAAGCAGGTCTGCCCTTGGAAAAGTATCTGGGTCCAGAAACTAGGTTTCAGGACAGGCTGCAAGGAAATTTTGCATGGTTCCCTAAATTCATTGCACTCCTCGATCTTTTTATAAAGATCCAGACGGAGGTGATAGGCAAAGGTTTAGGACCCACTAATCCACACTTCAAACCTCGTCTTCCCCTCTGATCTTCTTATTTCAAAAGATAACAAAAGGGGTTCCTCTGCTCGTTCCCCTAGCCTGGAAACGTGAGCGCACACCAAACACAACAGTAATCTTTCAAAGCCACCCAAGCTTTTCAATTACTGTAATCCACCTCTCTGGGTCTTCAAGAGCATAGGAGTCTTCAGACTTTCAGATAGCTCCTCCCAGGAACGAACAGATCTCCTGGCAGCTGAGCGAAAGTTTACCAGAGGCTTTCTCCTTGAAAATCAAAACTTCACTGCCCTTTGTGGTTTCCGGCGTCCAGGGCTAATGGAAAGAGCTTTTAGACTGTTTGCAAACTTACACTTGCTTTTTCATTTCTGGGGAGGTGGAGGGAAGACCTCATCAAAGGAAAAGACTGCTCCCTTGTGGTTATAAAATGTCTCAAGTAAAGGAGGACCTCAAGGGAGGCTTGAGGGGTTTTTCCTCCAAAACCAAATCTTTTAAAAACCCAGTTAGACGTTTTTGAAGCGAACAGGAAAGAAATACTTAGCAACGAAAATAGGGATCGAGATATTATGCTCCCACTTAGGCTGAACATCTTATGTATTTGTGTTACTTTTTTAAGAGCACATCAAAAGACTGAACAAACACTGTTGGCCATTTCTCACAGTGCTTACTGTAAACACAGCTTAAACACTGCTTCCCCACCTTCTCTAATCCCACTCAGGATATAGGGACATTTTCCCCAGTACAAAGAGAATATTTCTATTGTATTTTTTCCTCTTAAAAAAAGAGAGAGATACAATTTATGTTCTCCCTTGGGGGCAGGAAAGCAACATTTGAAAGGTGGAGAGCCCCAATTCCAAGGAGAAAGGACGATGGCTTTGAAGACTTGTTTTTTTTAACACGCAACCAAAAAATGAATAATTAACCCATCCATGTTGTTGAAGGGCTTTGAAGATGAAAGTGTCATTAAAAATCCAACTGTACTGGTTAATGTCAAAGAATGTGTTATCACCCTGAAAATCAGATTTCCTGTTCTGCAAACCAGCATATTAAAAGCAGCTTCTACTTTAAGAGTCCAGCTTAAAAAAAAGAGAAGTAAAAAGCCCCTACATTTACTATCAGACTTTCTGTGTATTCCTCAGGAGCCAAGGTGTTGCCCTAACATGTTTTTTGACAAGTCTTATGCTTCCCTGTTTACTCTAAATGATCTGCCTGTAGCAACTGGAAAAACACTTCCATCAAGGCAAATAAAATAGAAATAATTATTTCTTTCAGGCATAAGTTAGTCACATTTTAAAAGGTGTATCTCTCTGAGGCTTGTACTGGCAAACAACCTCATATGTCATGTTGATTTTTCAGTAGAGTTGAGAACCATTGAGAGAAAGTCCTTCCTGCTGGGAGAAAAGCCCACCAGCAGAGCAGATAGATCATTAGAATACAAGGTGCTTTGGGGCTATGGCAAAGATTTTGGCCTTTGTTCTAAGAGCGACAGGAGATAAAGGAGATATTTCAAGCAGAATGATGACATAGTAAGATTTGTTTTTCAAAAGGATCACTCTATTTGTAGAATGGAGAACAGATTGGAGGGGAGCAAAAGGGAGAACAGGTAAAAGATACCATTTTTCATCCTCAGGCAAAAATTAGAAAAATTGCTAACACCCAGGGCAGGCAAAGATTTGGGAAAGGGGTGGAAATGTAAACTGCTATAAACTTTTGGGAAAGTGACTGTCACAATTAATAGTGCACATCACATGTCCTTTGACCCAGAGAGACCTGTAATTTTGTCCTACAAAAATAAATGCACCAGTATGGATTTATACCTGCAATAGTATCTATTGCAGCATTTTAAAAAGGAAAAAAAAATTAAACAGCCTTTCTGAGCAGTAGAGGAAGGGCTAATGCTTTTAGAATATTATGCTGTTGTTAAAAATAATGAATTAAATCTATATATAAGAACTTGCAGAGGTGTCCATCCTGTGCTAAGTGAAAGAAGGCAAATTTCATAGTAACATGCAGCATGAACTTAAAATGAACTATTCTTCATGACATACATGTCTTCATATGTGTTTGTGTGAGCACAGAGAAGGAAGTAGAAAGACACACAGTAAACTTTTGTCATCTTGCCTAGAAAGGGTGACCCTGGGGATGGCAGGTGTTCATTTTTCTTTATGGATCTCTCTACTGTTTAAGAAAAAACACTGTTCCTTTTGTATTTTTTGATCTAGCAAAGTTTAAAATAATAAGACAAAATGTATAGAAAACTCAAATGATACCCTGATCTAATCTAAATCAACAGATTTATTATTGTCACTTGAAGGTCTTGGGTCCAGTTTTCTGGTTCCTATAAAATTCTGTCTCTGAGGAATACATATCTACAAGGACTTTTTTTTCCTATTGATACCCCAATAAAAAATGGTTAGAGCCTGATTCTTCAGTGGTCTTTTAGAGGGTCCAAATAAAGTCATGATGTATCTACATGGTCACAAAGAATGCGACAATCTTTCTTATGCTTTTGGAAGGGGCACATGCTTTGGGAACAAGTGGTTTTTCCAGGGAGAGAAACACGGTGTTAGTCACTTGATGTGAAGTGGGGGTGGGCTGCCTTCTTAGTTTTCTAAGAGATTAAAAGAGAAGGCACCACTCCTAATCACTCTCCAGTCAGTTTTGACCCAGACAAATGTTCTTTCCAACCTTAGAGATGTCTCCCATCTTTAAAAAAGATGGCTACATTAAGTTACAGATGTGCTAACCCTAAAAGGACACTTGGGACTAGGTTTGTGTAGTCCTATCTGGGTCTGCTTGTAAAAGGGAGAATGGATTCTCTAAAGCCCAGACTCAATAGAGTCAAAGGAATGTCTAAGGCCAAGGAAAACTTCCACCCCTATAACTCACAGGTCCTTTGTCACCGCTTGAAACATATGAGATAAAGAGACTTAGATAGGCTCTTCTTGTGAAATACTCAGTATCAGAGATTTTGGTTTCCTAAACTAATGGCCCCTTACCTGCAGTTTGCATCAGCTGCCACTAGGAGGGGACAGGGAAACATATACTGTGCCCTCACGAGAGAAATTAAATCTCAAATTGATAATCTAACACGAATGTATTCGACTAGTCCACTTCTATATAACCAGGTGCAAACCATCTTTATTATCAGATGCAACATCCACAAGGAGGCTTCATAGATACAACTAAACATTGAGACTTACGAAGACCATTCTGGGCCACATTTGGCCTCAGATTCATTTGGAAGGATACAGGTCAGGAGCAAAAGCTTGGAGCGGGCAGAATTAGGCGCTCTGCCTCCCTGGGAGCCCTTGCAATAATCCATGTAGCAATCGACAGTGCTGCCCCCTCATTCCCCCTCTAGCCAAGTGACAGCTCAGGTACAAGGAAAGAAGATACGCATCAGACCCGTGTGGCAGCTGTCTTGACTTCCAAGTCTCATCCCCGTCAGGAGCTAGTACTTCTTGTGACCAGCAGCCCCACAGCCATAGCTACCAGGGACCCATCAGGACCCAATCAAAGTGTCTACACTCAGGGAAGCCCAGAGCGATGCTCCCCCATCAGGCTTTATGGTTGTGCCAGTCCAGATGCAATTTACCAATTGCGTTAATATAAGTAAGGCTGCCTAACATAGTTGACATTATATTTTTATCAGGGTTCAGGGGAACTAACAACAGAAAGCTAACTGAGGGTCAAATTGTCATGCAGAAATGTAAAATTTTTATTAATCCCTTGCCCACACCATTATATTCTACTTTAAAGATAATTTACAGGAAGATTTAAAGAGCCACGAATATTTAGGTGCAGTTTATTACTTTTTTTCTGTTGTTCTCCAACACTATTTGCACTTTAACTTTGTCTATGCAGTCTTTTGTCATATAGAAATGTGAGATTTTGATACTGTCAAGTATATTAATCCTTTCCTTGTGGTGTTTTCTCTCTTGTTTGAGGCTACCTTCTCCCAGCACAAGTTTTATAAGACCTTTCCTTGTCTATGTGGCACTGTGGTGTCAATTAGAAAGAGGCCCCAAACTCCAGGCTGGGAGAAGGATTGGCTGGCTTTACAGGTTATTCAGGAAGAAATATTGAGTGAGGGTGCCCAAATTCAGAAAAGAGGAGCAGAGGTCACATGCGCGTTTACATGCATAAGGAGAAACAAGCAAACAAAACTTGGGATTCTAATTGGAATTGTATTAAGTATAAAGATTAATTTAGGAAGAATTGACTTTTTTGGTCAACACTGAATCTCATATGGACATAGTAGAGCTCATTTTTTTCTGGTCTTTTCCATCCTTTAATAAAATTTCACAGGTTTCTTCATGTAGATCTTGTATACACTTCTTCTGTTGATCTCAGGATGTTTCACAGGTTTGGGTGCTATTATGAAGAGAATTTTTTTTCTAATTTTCAAAGCTATTGATTTACTTCATACTAATCTTTAATCCAGTCATTTCACTGATCTCTTATTCATTCTGATGGTTTTTCACTGAAATAAAGTCTACATACAGTTAAATGCCTGTATTTAGCTTAATACTAAATACACAATTCAATGAGTTTTGATAAATGTAGACACTTGTGAAACAGTACCCCACTCAAGATAGTTCTAATAGTTATTTTTTAAGGATGATTTTTCTAATATTTCTTAAACTATAATCATATTATTTGCTAGTAATGATAGTTTTATTTCTTCCTTTCTAATATAACCCATTTATTTTTCTTATTGAATTTCATTGCCCAATCCAATGCTAACTGTAGCAGTAAGAGCATCCTGGTATTTTTTACGGGTAAGTTTCTAATGTGTCACTGTGTATGAGGCATTCTTTTATCAAATTAGGACATTTTCTTCTCTTAGTTTGCTAACAATAATAATTATCAACAACAATAATAATAACAACAATAATAATAACAACATTATTATCAGTAATGGCTATTAACTTTTATCAAATGCACCTATGAAGACAATTATGTGTGTTTTCTTCTTTAAGTTATTATTGCAGTAAAATGCAATAGTAGATTTGCTATTATTGATCTGTTTTGCATTCCTGGGATTAAGCCTTTTGGAATCATAATTCTTTTAATACATTGGATTCAGTTTGTTAATATTTTATTTAGTAGTTTCTGTTCCCACAGTCCCAGGTTATATTGGCTCACAGTTTTATTTTCTTGTTCTTCCTTTTTCTGGAATCAGCATTATTTCAAACTCTCAAAAATAAGCTGGAAAGAAGGAGAGCCTAGTTCTAGGCTCTGGAAACATTTGTAAAGATGGAAATTATGTATTCCTCGAAAGTTTGGTAAAACCTATCCGTGG